TGAGCTTTTGCAATGAAATTTAGCATAGCAACTCCCTATGGACGAAAGAAGAACCCTTTTGATTTTGAGGTCAAAAGGTCAAAGGTCAAGGTCATAAATAAGCAAATTCTGTCTGTTATAATACTTTCGTTTCCACACGATATCTCTAGAACCATTTCAGCTATTGCAATGAAATTTTACATAACAACTCCCTGTGGCCTCATAAAGACCCCTATTGATTTTGAGGTCAAAAATCAAGGTCGTAAATTTACACATTCTTTCTGTGTGTAACACTATCATTTCCGGGCGATATTTCAAGAGGATTTTGAGCTTATTTAATGTAATTTTATACCAAAACTCCCTAGGACCTCTCTCACCCCTCTCAAAGTTCCCCGCCCCGTTTGTTTTATTAGTATTTATAGTATTACATGTGGCTATTTTTAGCACAGAGGCATGAGGAGAGTTATCGCGTATAAAACAGGTTCTCGCCGGACTTTATGTTCTTATTACATCTATTAGAACTATTTAATAAAGGCTAAATAAAACAAACACCATGAATTGTGTAAAATTTTGACAATACCGAACATGAAGATACATACATGTATGTGACTTCACTTTTGCATATAATTGATTCCATGTAAAGCGATTCCGTGGTCTAGTGGTATGTTTCTCGCTTCCAAAGTGAGAGGTCCCGAGTTCAAGCCCCGGACGGACAGTCTTTTTTTTTTTTTGAAATACTTTTTTTTACTAAATAATAGTAATAAGCACGCGAAATGAAAAAATCTACGAGGTCTGGCTTGTACAAACTCATAAAATCGTCATTACAGTGTGAAAAATATTCCATATAAAAAGAATCTTCTATACACATAATAAAGAATAAGCAATTAAATCTTTATATCCATAATTGTATATTTTATTTGCTTCAGTATACATGCATGTATGCATTTAATAATTTTACAAATTCAGTGAGGAGGATCCAACTCTCCCCCCCCCCCCCCAACTGCGCATGTTTTACTTTTTCCTTAAGCGGGGGACACAAATTCTCTGAATTAGCTTGTTTATATAGATAAAACTTCGTTTTATTTTTGTTGCTTTATATAGCCTTTGTTTTATCTCAAAAGCGTTTGAGAGTAAGAATTACATTTTTGCACGTAATTTTTAAATGGTGACTATGGGGTTGACTTCCTGCCTTGAACAGGATGACATAAGCCAGCAATTGCTCTTTGAGCAATAAGCCCGGCTGATGAATTGTTTCTGCATGTCCGTAGTTGTACAATGATCAACATACGAAGAAAATACCCCATGCCAGCCCCTCTGTGCTAGACATACACACATACACTTCTAATTTGCAAACCAGTGTACACGTGCCGAACATGCACATCAAGAGCTTTTAATGGACTTATGGTCAGTCTTTGGTAATTAGAAATATTATTGGTTAGAAATTTATTAAGATTGATTTATGTTAATCAAAAATAGATTAATGTTTTATAATTAGGTACAATGCATTAAATAAAAGTCAGAGTTGAAAAAAGATACATTTAGATTTAGTTATATGTCCGTAAAAGCCGTAAATTTGGCCTAATTGTCATAGTTCTAAATATCCTGTAAAGCTTGGTTCCCACGTTGGTAACATGTATTTATCTCATACGTGTTGATGATACTACCCATGGAATAAACCTATGCTTTATCCATGGTTAGGTGCTTTATCAATAGCACTTCCGGTTTTGACACGATCCCTCCGCATTGCTTCAAGATTCAAATTTATCAAAACTTTGATTTGTAAAAATTCTTGCCTTATAAAAGAAATAATAATGATCAAGAATTTTGTAAAGAGCATGGAAAACACAATCGACGTATACTTCGAAGAAGTGTCAATATTTAGCAAAATTATCCGTCTCAATTACTGTAGAGGCGGATGCCGGATGTTAACCCCTTCCCCAAGAACGTATAGAAACGTATAATCTAATTAAAATTAGATGTTCGATCGACTCGCATACTCGTGAACGCGAATATACCCCATTTCAACTCGCATAAAGCCAATATGAAGGCACATAATCTAGATATCCTTTATATATTCAGATCAATTTATTGTTTGTGCTAACCGCAATAAAAAATAATTATATATTGCTTTATAAACATTTCGCGTTGTGTTCAAGGCAAAAATAAAATAACGCAAAATGTTATAACGAAAAGCACGTTATTATATTTTGCGTTAATCTCGACGCAAAATGTAATTACGCAAAATGTAATAATCCGAAAATCGTGTTATCACATTTTGCGTTATTACATTTTACGTTGATCTCGACGCAAAATGTAATAACACAAAATGTTATAATCCCAGTTTATTACATTTGGCGTTGTTATTACAATTCGCGTTGTAACAGCGCTTTGCTCACAATACCTCTAGTTTTTGTCAGTGTACCTGAATCAGTATTCCTTGTTTTACTTTGTTAAATTTCGTTATTGGATATTGCATTAGAACTTCAGGGCCGAAACTGTTCGGTCATACTTAGTTTGAAGTGTATCTTGTATTTTACATGTATATTTTGACGCAAAATGTAATTACGCAAAATGTAATAATCCGAAAATCGTGTTATCACATTTTGCGTTATTACATTTTACGTTGATCTCGACGCAAAATGTAAGAACACAACATGTATATTTTGAGGAATAATGCATATGGTTAACAAACATTGACATACTAGAGGAACATAACTTGAATACAAAGAAAATTTAATGAAAATAATCCGACCTACTAAAATGCTTGATTTACAGCTTTTTGATAATTCACAAACAGTGTATAAACAAATATGGTTCACTGCCGTAGGAACCGAGATTCTAAATGCTTGTGCTCCCTCAATTAAGAAGGATATAAAGACAACGAACAGTATTCGATCTCAAATTCCATAAAACAATATAAAATAGGAGCAGAGCAAACACGGACCTCCGAAACATCAGAAGTGGGATCAGGTGCCATGGAGGAGTGAACATCCCCTGCTGACCGGTCACACCCGCCGTGTGCTCATTGTCATGATCGTGAAATAACGGAAAAATCCGTCGTCAATTCAGTGTATAAATAATGGACTAACAATTGGTATGAAAAACGTCAGTCAGGATTTGACTCATTGATAAATTGTATTTGCTGACAAGGTCATTGTATCGACCATAGAACGTACGAAATGATGACTTTAAATGAGACTGCTGATATTCTTGTTTCATCAACTTGTTTGTCAATAATTTACCTCGTTTTAGAAATTGTTCATACGTAGAGCATGCTCTTGCGTATCGAATCAAATGGGATATATACACTCCGTATGCAGGTGATGAGGGTATATTGCTGCATAAACAAGGCAAGTTGACGGTAGAAAAGTTAAAGTCATCACGTTTATCATATAACTTGGCTGATAGGCTACCGTTAACGTCTTTTTGAAGTAAAATATCCAAGTATGATATAGATGGGTTAGACTCTGTGGTATCTTTTATCTCAAGCTCTCCTGGATATATCATATCGACGTTGGAATGAAATTTTCCATTGTTAACTGACAATACGTCGTCGATATATCTGAAGGTCGAGTTAAAGGCCGCAGCAAGTGGTTTTTTTTCTTTTCACGCATAAGATTATTTAAAAAGTCGTTTTTTTGGCTGGCTAAGGGTATTTTTCCATCTTTTTCTTTTTTGGCAGTTACCTCAAACTCATAACTGAAAGTATTTGGTTGTACCCCCCCCCCCCCCCGACGGAAACTGCTTTCTTTGGGCCAGTTAAGTGTCCGAAATAACAAGGCTCCCGCTGCCGTGTTATCAAAAAATGTAGTCGCACGCAAGACAATTTTTTCTAAGGAGCCAACTTCAAAAGTGGACAGTAATCATTATTGGAATGTGTGTTTACTAATAGGTGGCTCAGAAAGAAAAAAAAACACCCATTTCTAATATTTATAATTTCCTCCTCTCTCCAGAGTTTTGTGTTCGCTTTTTCAGAATTTTTTTTAAAGTGTATAACACATTATATGAAAAAAGGTGCAAGATAATGTAAATGAACATTGCCATCTATAATACATCACTCAAGAAGAGTTATTGTCTACCATATGAATGCTGGTTTCTTTCTATGAGGTTATATTTTTAAGTATAAAAAAGACTCTCTCTCTCCCCAAAAACACTTTTTTAATAAAATACATTATATAAAGAGCATTATTGCAACCACTGTTGAAATAACGACAACTATTGAAATATTAATTTCAATAGTGGTTGAGAGTGCATTTCAATACCAAACATAATATGCAACGACTATTGAAATACGACCACTATTGAAATAGTTTTTTTCCAATAGTGGTTGAAAGTGCATTTCAATAACAAACATAGGTTGCAACCTCTATCAAAATACAACCACTAATTATTTCAATAGTTGTATGGAGTGCATTTCAATACCAAACATAAGTTGCAAGCACTGTTGAAATAATGTTCACTTTTGAAATAAATATTTCAATAGTGATTAACAGAAAGTTTTCAAAAGTTATTAAAATATTGATTTCAAAAGATGTTAAAATGACTAATAGAAGCTGACAATAATTTTAATATCAAAACCCCATTGCAAGTTCTTTGGAAGTATCCCAATAATTAAAACGGCTATAAAGTTGAATTACATATTGTGTTTTTTAACACAATATACTAATTTATTTAACTAAAGTTAATTAGTGAGTATAGGTCAGAATTTGTAGCCCCCCCCCCCCCCCCCCCCAACATCTTAATTCTTGAGATGGACGTAAAACAAAAAATCGATCAAAGGGGAACGGCCAGGTGTTTAAAGCAGGCCTTACAATTTTTTTTTTAAAAATCTATGTAAGCTTTATGTGGTCACACACAATTTCCTATATAACAAGATATTTATATCATATCGAAAAAGACCATATGTTTCATAAAATATTACTTTCTCTGATAGATAGTTTCTTGAATTTTAATACAATTTTAGAAAATTAAAGTTATCATAAGCTTCTTAACAGAAAAATCCTTTTTTCCTTTATTTTCAGATGACTTTGCGACCAGCAGGATTTCCAATCTTCCCAGTAGATAGCTGTCCCAGAAATCTATCGGCAGTAGAAACAGCTACACTCAGACTCAATTGTTCTGAAGTCAAAGAGTTCAAAAATGTTTATCACTGTCTACCCCTTTCCAATCTTTCGTTGCTGGTGGAATTCTGTTACGATGGAGTGAGTGGTTTGATTGAGAAAGGTAATAGTTTGAAAAAATACTAGCATATTCTTAAACTTTGCTAATCGTCACCTTTCCTTTCTTATGCAGCAATATACCTTCATTACCCGAATGCGTAGTTTATATATCTCATTTGATTCTACTTATGAAAAATTTCTAAAACGAGGTAAATTATTGACAAACAAGTTGATGAAACAAGAATATCAGCAATCTCGTTAAAAGTCACCATTTCTTAAGTTCTATGCTCGATACAATGACCTAGTCAGCAAATACAATTCATCACGAGTCAAATGCTGATTAACTTTTTTCATACTAATTGTTATTCCATTATCATATAATGAATTGACGACGGATTTTCCCGTTATATCTCGATCATGACAAGAAGTACACGGAGGGTGTTACAAGTCGGCAGGGGATGCTCACTCCTTAATGGCACCTGACCCACCTCTGATGTTTTTGAGGTCCGTGTTTGCTCTGCTCCTATTTTGTATTGTTTTATGGACTTTTGATCTTGAATACTGTTCGTTATCTCCATATATATCATGCTTATTATTACATTTTAAGAAAAGATCAAGAATCACAAAATGGCAATCAATGATTATTTTTCCCTTTATGACTGTCTTCCAATTTTTTCATAGTAAGATATTTTACTAATTGAAGACATTCAGAGCTAAGTCACAGACAAGCGCGGTATTCTAGCTTTTCACTGGTAAACATGTCTCCCAAAATATACAGCATGCATTGATCAATTCTAAAAAAAGAAGAAAAAAAGAATGAGAAGTTTTCATAAAAGAATACGAAAAGTTATGCAATGTAATATTTTGAATGAAATAAAAGGTCGTGCAAAAATGAGGTAGAATATATTATAAATTGCATAATATCTCGATATGCAAGCGATATCATGTGTTTAAATATATATTTGCCAATGAAAAAAGGTAAAGATAGCGAACGGAGATAATTTTAAAATATCCACAACAATACAATTCTTTTAACAGGGCATAAAAAGAACCCCAGAAAATTGCAGATGTGGGATCAGGTGCCTAGAGAGATTAACCATCCACTGCTGACCACACCCTATGAATAACTCATGTAAACTTGACATCCCATGATCGAATATACGTTACATGTAGTTTAAAAACAAGGGACAAACAATTGACCAAATTATAGGTTATATTTATTGACAGGGTCAAAAATACGACAAATTAATGTACATTTAACGGGGTTGTTGAAATCTCTGTAGCATTAGGATTTGTAATCTAGTCTAAAACTAAATTAAATCTTCTGAGTATCGATTAAGTTTGGAGACACCGTGAATTGTTTTAAGTTTATCTAATAAATACATACATTGTTAGATAAGTCTTGAAATCCAAGCAGGGTCTTGAATGCGCGAGTAATGGTTGTTGTTATTTGCATATGATCCTTACTATTAAAATTACACGCAAAAATATAATTTTTGCGAGCAGATAAACTCGTGTAATAACACAAATATAAAGTTCTCGCAAATAAAAAAGTGACTTATTGTACTTTTTGGTTTGATTCTTGGGGAAGGCAAGGCTTGTTTAAAACCTTATAAACGGTATATTGTTTGATACCAGTATCTTCCTAGCCTAATCTGTACATTTTTTTACATTCGTATGAACCACATGTTTTTTTTTGTGAAATGTAAATGGAATCTTTCATATTCACAGGTAATTGCATGGTACTCGAAAATCAACATTTGAATAATCATCCATGCGCCCACTTTACCAACGGCTGTCCAGAGGCACCCTATTTTCCCAAAAATATGTTTAGCTGTATGTACTTTTCTTTTTAAATTCGCCTGGGTTATATATATACTCACCGTCAATAGAAACACAACACCCTAATTTTTGGGTGAAAATTATGTACAAGATATAACTATGTACCAAAAAAGGTAGGACATCTTGAACTTTGCCAAATCAGTTATTTAGCGGATGAATGATTTTCATTCCATTACCGGAAGTTGGTTTTTAGCCCTCTTAACAGAAATCAAATATTAGCATTTTTGATAAATTATTTGACAATATTTTGGGTTTTTAAGGTTTTGTACCTGTTATTCAAAAGTATTGTACTAAAATTCCGGGAAAATATATTTCTTTCTTTTCTGGATGTGATATCTGTATTTCCTTAAAATTACCGAAAGCACGCATTTTCATTGATAATGCTGGAAATTCTCAAAATAAAGAAAAAGGAGAGCTACAGATACAAATGTACGCTACAAAACGTCTTTTCGGGCTCATGTGTTTCAAAAGCATGAATGACAGTTCATTGACCGGAAGTCTAATGGTTATTATACTGCGCAAAGTTAGGGAAAATTCGACCTCAGTATCTGAAAAAACAGGTATTTAAAAATGCCAAAGGATATTTATTTCGCTCAGATAAAGACATTGATAAACCTAATGCATGGTGGAAATCGGATTGCGTATGTTGCACATGGTGGACTAGCATGTTTTGATTAATGGTCGGAAGGGGGATGTTTTATTAAAGAGTTATCTGTTAAGAGGGCTAAAAAATCTTTTGGTAATGGAATGAAAATCATTCAACCTTTAAATAACTTATTTGGCAAAGTAAAAGATGTCCCAACTTGTTTGGTAAATAGTTATATCCCGTATACATGTATAAATTTTCACCCTAAAATTAGAGTCTTGCGTTTCTATTGACGGTGAGTATACATAGATAGACCTAGACTATTTTAGCCACCATCTTGTGAAAATAAAACCACTTGAATGAATTTATATGTATGCAATTATTGGGTTAAGGGTAACATATATAATACATAAACAAATGCATTCATAACAATATTATATAATTAACAACGTCAAACAACGCAATTTATGAACACTGGAGAAACACTAGTATTCAAACTGGTCTTAACAAAGTTAATATCATGTGTGACCACCATTTGCACTAACGTATGCTTGACAAAGGCGCCTTATTGATGACATCAACGTGTTTAGATATGCTTGAGGGATGTTGTTTCAGATATTGGTAAAGACCTGGCCTAAATCAGCCAACGTAACTGGCTGATTCGGCAAATGACGTACACCTCGTTCCATTTCTTCCCAAACGTGTTTGCTCGGTTATAAATCGGGGCCGACATCTACATACTGCTGAGCGAAAACGTCCCTTCCTTTGCGTGCAGCATGTGGCCTTGCGTTGTTTTGCTGAAAATAATGTGATTCCGTTGTCCCTGTATGAAGGGTATCAAATGGCTCTGAATAATTTTCTCTCGATAGTGCACTCCGATGAGATTTACATTGACGATCTGAAGAGGGGTTCTTCCACGTGCTGTGATTCCACCCCACAACATAACGCTGCCTCCACCAAATTGTCGCCGGTGCACAACACACGCGTCCTGTTACCGCTCCCCAATGCGACGATACTCTCTACGACGGCCGTCACTGCTATCCAAATGAAATCTGGACTCGTCCATGAACAGAATAATAGCCCAGTCCTATAGTCGGAATGGCAGATGTCGTCTGCACCACGCTTGTCTAGCGATACAATGACGTTGAAGCAGTATTGGGCGAACATCTGGACTTATTGTTCTAATGTGCTCGTGCAGACGATTGCGCACAGTTCTTGGGATGATTGGTCTAAGTCCAGGAATACTTCAAACAGTCAAACTTGCTGTCTGGAAACAATTTCTCAGGTGCACGAGTCTAATGTGGTTGTCCTGTCGACGCGACGTCACGCGAGGTCGCCGAGAACGTGGTCGATTTCGAGTGTTACCAGAGTGTTGAAAAAGTGTCCATTATTATTGGGTGGTGTTACGATGAACTTCAAAGTGTCGTGCAACGATAATTTTTGCCATTCCAGCTTGAAGTATCCCTTTAGCAATATTACGTTGGTTTTTGCTGAGTCGTGGTATGACAAACGGGTAAATGTGGTCAAAAATGTTTTTCATATCGAATAGAGTCCAAATAAACCTTATACAGTTCTTTCTCTAAAGAATTTTGGCTACTTAAACTTGTGTAGAAGAACACGTCAAAAACAGCTTTTGCTCACTAACCATGAAAAGCCCGTGCATCCGAGTCGAGTTCTATCCGATATTATCTTGGTGATCGTGCATAAATAAAAGCAAAACAGGTGTTGAATATTTGTTTAATTATCGGATAGCATTTCTAAAATAAGGAAAAGTATAAAATGTAGTGTTGCATTATTTTTCTCATAAAGCATAATACTACTTAAAGTAGACTGAGCATGAACTTATTTTGTAATCATTAAGATAAAGCCCAGGGTTAGGATTTACATTACCTGCGTTAAATAAGCAAGAAAAGAGAGGCAATGAAACTAAGAAAAAAATATTTTAAAAATAGAATCACAGTTCTCTAATCAGATTTCAGAAACTCAATTACCAAGGGTGAGGTTAAGTTATCAATTCATGTGCTCTAGTTAACGAAAAGAAAATGTTTTGCGTCAATATTATAATAATACAATGGCATTTGTCTTTATTATAAGTAAACATAAAGGATACCACAGGAGTCTGATTCATCTGTTTCATATTCTGATATTTTGCTTGAAAAAGGCGTTAATGGTAATCTAACAACCACGCTCTATGATACACTTGATTACTTTAACTCTTCTATCGCCAACAACCCTACTTATGCAGCCATATACCTTTATGTTCCTCTGTTATTATGCAAGACCGAAGCCAAGTCAACCTAACTAGTTTTTAGATGGATTAAAATTGAAATAACAACAGTAGTGAAAGTGAAAAAATGTCATTAATTCACGAAAATGACGCAAAACAAAAATATAAACATATTATATGGGGATCAGACAAATTTTCAATAGAATACAAAAAAACTTTGGTATCATATTATGTAATCTGATCCCCTAAAATTAAATACTGTATACAGGGAAATTTCCGCCACCGTTTTATTTTCGTCCCTTTCGCCCTACCCTCATTTGGGCGAATTTAAAATGGGGCGAATTCAAAGAATACAGTATAATTTCTAAAACAAAACTATGGATGGGCGAATTTAAAACAGGGCAAAATTGTTTGCAAGTGTGATAGGGCGAAAATAAGACAGGGCGAAAATAACCCTGTATACAGTATATCATAAATGAGGCACTGATATGCCTGTCATCAAAAAAGGGTGGTATACAATATACGTACCTTCATCACCTGTATACGTAATTTAAATATCTCAGTTGATTCGATATGCAAGAGCATGTTTTACGTATGAACAATTTATGAAACGAGGTAAATTATATACAAACAAGTTGATGAAACAAGAATATCAGCAGTATCGTTTTAAGTCATTATTTCGTAAATTCTATGGTCGATACAATATGACCCTATCAGCAAATACAATTTTTCAATGAGTCAAATGCTGATTGACGTTTTTTTGTACTAATTGTTATTTTATAATTTATACACTAAAATGTTGAGTTTTCCGTTATTTCTCAATCATGACATGGAGCACACGGCGGGTGAGCTTTATTGATCATTCACAAAAAATAAGAAAAACAAACCGATTCTCAAGACATTACACATTATTGCCAATTATCCTATAAACATATTTCATAGATATTTCTCTAAGAAAGTTATAGCTATGGGCGTAGTGAGGTACATAGTGAGGTAATGATATGTTGAAAATGCTTAAGTACTCTGAATTTTCACTAATGATATAATTCAATCTACAACACAAGAAAAACAACAAAAATTTGTGATTATATGATCATAGAAAAAAGTATTTATTAACATGAAGAATTATAGTTCTTTCAAAAACAAGAATATGTTTTGTTTTAATTGTTATTTATGTTTGAGGGGGATAGGGTAATTGATAAAAAAAGCATTTATGTTTGAATATCTTTTCTTTCAGTTTTTTAGGATTACTAGTATATTCTTCGTACATTTGTATTTTCTGTGGTGTTATTCTCGTTTCCAAATTTAGATGATTTATAGCTTATAATTCGATTTTGTAGTTCCATCCTGCATACAAATAAACAAGCAAAACAGTTGTTATTTGGCGGATCCAAGATGTCCCCCAGTCAGGTAATTTGAAAATTGTCCATCAGATGTTTAAGATTAGATAAAAACGATAAAAAATATTGATCATATCTTTTCAATGAGAAAAAAAAGCTTTCCGATTTTAATTGACAAAAACTGACAACAGCTTTTTGATCGTTCATTGGGTGAGTTAAAAATGCATTATGAATTTTTAACTCATAAGTTTGATATAAGAATTCAACGAACATTACAAGCTTTTAATGTTTGTAATTAAAAGCATTTTCAAGTTAGAGAATTTTTTTTTCATAATTCACATCATGTTATAATTTAATTTTGTTTATATTCTCGCCTCTCATTGGTTGATTTCCAAAAAGGAACGCAGAACATTTTGTATAATCTGGTTTGGTATGGGGACACACCCCCTTGACGACCAGCTTAATCATCTTATCCATGCAATCCCCTCATTTCCAAATTCGGAATCCATGGAAAATTCAAGAATTAATAACTCTATCTTTAATTTCAAACATTTACTCGATCTTACCTCATGTAAACACACAACATGGCTGCTAGATCTATGTATCAGTTATTACCTTCCCTCGCTTCACATCACTACCGTTACTAAGGTTGTATTATTGCGCGGTAAATTTGAACTTGTAAAAAGCAACACAATTTTACATCCAAAGTTGTTTAATTATTTTAAAATTAAATTATAAGGAATGACTCTAATTCTTGGCCAAATTATCGAGTATAATCTGGTTTGGGTCAGTTTACACTTTTTTATAATCCGCTTCGCGGATTATAAAGCGTAAACTGACCCAAACCAGATTATACTCGATAATTTGGCCAAGAATTAGAGTCATTCCTTAATTCTGTGACATCGTCTCTAAAGTAGTACGTAAACTAAAAAAAAATTTTCTTGTTATGTCGATTTTGCACTGGAAGAGATGAAGGTCAGTGGTTACTATATTTTGAGCCTTTGTTTTTGAAATATTTTGTCATTATTCACGTACAGATCAATTTTATTTACCTTACAAATTAAAAAAAAAAGCAATAAAACATGCAACTTTCAAAACAAAACGTTTGCATTGATAGATAAGTAAGGATAGAAAACACAGTAACAGCATACCATAATTAATTCACCCCTATGTGAAGGCCCAGGAAGTGGTCGAACACAATTCGCTGTGTGTTCTCTTTCTTTGGATGTCTCTTAAATGTTATGTAACAAATGAGCCTCTATGAAGGGGAAAGACAATTATCATTAGTATTCTGTTAGATGATTTATACATGATGACTTCTTGTGAGGATCAGATCAACTGGTAATAATCATAACTCTGTTTAATTTTCATAGAGGGATTGCCGATACAACAACTATTCTCATGGGAGAAAATGAAACTGCTACAACGAACAACAGCGACGATGTTAAGCTAAGTTTAGCTGTGTTAACACCAATTATTGTGATCAGTTTAATAATCACACTCGGGGTTATGTGGAATCGAGGGAGGCATAAATTTTGCAATAAAGGTAAAATATTTAAATGAACATGATGAATGCTATATAATACTAGATGCTGTCATGAGACAGTAATACCCGCACTAAGGTGTTTGCCTCTAAATACACAATCCTACGGGCGGCTTACCAAGGAAAAAGTCAAAATAATTCTATATAATTCAGGCACGTAGCATCGTTTTTGAAAGTAGGGGGGGGGGAACCTGAGAAAATTCTTTTTACTTACCTTAAAAAATTAACAAGGAAAAAAAATGAAATCGGGGGGGGGGGGGGGGGGGGGGGGGTAGTGACCAACTTTTTTCAAGGCCAATTAAAATTACTTTCACTTCCAATTTTTCCCCCATATTTCCTTGCTATGTATATACTGTGGTAAAAAGTGTGTGGGGGGGGGGGCAACCATCTTTTCAATGGACATTTTCTTATAGTACAGGTAATGTTGGGAAAAAAAGGGGTGGCAGCCCCCCCCCCCCCCCCTGGTTGCTACGTGCCTGTAATTTACATGTATTCATCAAATTGAGTATGAAATTATCCCTGTGACCTATAACTCAGAACCTCTTATATTTATTTTACATGCTTAATTCATTATATACCAGTTTGAATTCTATTAATGATGTAAATTAGATTTTGATAAATGTTTTGCTCATAATAGGACCTTTTTAAATTTACTAACCCCCCCCCCCCCCCCTCGACACCACAATCACACAGTACATACTTTTTGGAATAGGCTAGATGGAACAGTTTTGTTAAAACATTGTTTGTTATGAATTAATTTAAAATTTGTTCTTGACATGTAAATTCTACATCACACCACGTTGCCTCACCCATTATCATATTTTTAGATTAAACTCCATTCGGTACACCTCGGCCGATTCCCACTTCATCTGATAAGGTGACGGAATCGACGGCACGAAGGTTTTCCGAATGGAATAGCATTATAACATGCTGCAGAATGGTGTGCATTGGATTAATTCATTATGTGTTATATAAATTGGATTTATATTTCATGAAGTTTACAAGACCTCTGGAGGTCGGTAAGTACAAGTTTAAGTATAGTGGGGGGTAAAATAAACCCAAACGATTAGGTTAAGTTCAAAAAGGGTCAAAGATCAGCGCATGCCACACTAGACGAATTTCATATTGTGAAGTTATCTCCCCTTGTCGATGTGACATTCAGTTACTGCCAATACTGGTGCGGATCCAGAATTTTTTTTCGGGAGTAGGGAGGGGGGGGGGGTCACATCTCAGTCAAAAAATTCATGCCTAGAATTTCCTGACAAGCAGGAGAAAAAAAACTCATAAACTGAAAACAAATAAAAAAAATAAAAACAATGATAGTGGGGTCAATGTTTTCTAAGTTAGGGGGAGGATGTCCAAAGTCATTTTTTATTTGCTTCAGTATATAGTCTTGTTTAAATAACAAAGGAAATTCCAGGGGGGGTCCAATCTCCCTACCCACTCCCTATCCCTGAAATAACATTCTATTTTGTGATTCCAATTAAATAGTATATTTTTTTCCATTTGACTAATTATGTAAATATTTTTTTTCTTGTGTTTATATTATGTCTGTCTATTTGTCTGCAGAAATTATAACCTTGCCCATAAGTTTTAAGTGGGATGGGCTATACAAATGGCTTCCACATTTTATAGGTTTATTTCTTGTGACAATTAAGACCATTTATTTGGGTAACATTAATTTTTACCTCTGATCACTTGACCTAGAATACACATTTTTACAAGAAAAATACCCAACTTTAAACTTAGCCTAAATTTTGATCAGTAGGTGCTAGGGCTTTCATGCTTAACATGTGTATTCATTGTGAACTGTCAACAGGTATAAATATGTTTGACCTTGACCGTAGAGTTTGAACCACTTAAAAAATTATATAACCTTGGCAATTAACTTTTGAACAGGAAGTACTAGGGATTACTTATTTCACATGTGCATTCCTTGTGACAAGACTTTTATCTGATACCAACAATTTGAACCCTTTGACCTTGACCTTTGAGTTTGACATATATTTGAGAAACTTCAACCTTCGCCATAGGCTTCCATACAGGGACATCAGTGTTTCACAAACACATCTTGTCTTCATTATTATTTGGTTGTGTCTCCATATGAGGGAAAAATTCCCGAGAGAGATGTATTCACAACAAACAAAATACTAAAGAAAATATAAAACATGAATATGTTGGTCATGCATATCTCTGCATGAAAAAAAACAGCTTTTCAAATACTGCAACCATATTGTAACCCTTTCAAAACACTCATTTGAGCTTTTCTGGTTTCTTTATCATATAACGTCTGTCGTGACATGTCGTCCATCTGTTTGTCTGAAAACTTTTTACATTTTTAACTTCTCTAGAACCACTGGTCCAATTTTACCCATGCAATTCATATAGAAATATGTACATTTGTATATCAGACTGTCCTTCTGTCTGAATAAAATTAACCTTGGTCATCACGGTCATATCTACTGAATGAGAAGAGACAAGGCATTCATATTAAACTTATGTACTAGTATTTACCTGTGAGAATGGCATGGTTTTTTTTTTACATATGACCTAGAAGTTTGACCTACTTGCAAAAAATTAAATTGTTATAAATTCATCATTTTGAAAGAGAAAAGTTAGGGCATTCATATTATAATGCATGTATATTATTACCTGTGATAAGATCTTTCCAAATGAATCATGACTTTTACTCTGTGACCTTGACCTTGAAGCCTAACCTACTTTTCAAAAATGTTGCATTTGCTTATAACTTTTGATTGAGATGAGATATGACTCTCACATTTTACATGTACATTAATTACTCATAAAAATTCAAGGTGTTTCCCAGCATGCGATGTTTTTTTACTCTTTAACGTTGATGTTTTACATAATTTTCAAAATATATAACTCTCCTAAAAGATGATTAGGCTTCTGAGTAACATTAAGGAGGACTTCAGGAAAGACAGGACTTTTTGCACAAAAAACGTCATTTTTCACCTCCATTTGACCCCCGGGGAAAAAACAAAATTACGAAAACTTACTGCACATCTACATGACACCACCAACCATCTCCCAAAAGATGATTAGGCTACTGTGTAAAATGTAGGAGAATTTCAGGGAAGACGGGGCTTTTTGCATAAAAACGTCATTTTTTGACCCCTATTTGACCCCCTGGGGCAAAATCAAAATTCCGAAACCTTACTGCACATCTACATGACACCACCAACCATCTCCCAAAAGGTGATTAGGCTGTTGAGTAAAATGTAAGAGGAGTTCAGAGAAAACGGGACTTTTTGCATAAAAAACATCATTTTTCGACCCACATTTGACCCCCCGGGGCAAAATCAAAATACCGAAACCTTACTGCACATCTACCTGACACCACCAAAGATCTCCCAAAAGATGATTAAGCTACTGTGTAAAATGTAGAAGGAGATCAGGGAAGACGGGGTTTTTTGCATAAAAAACGTAATTTTTTGACCTCCATTTGACCCCCCGGGGCAAAATCAAAATTCCGAAACCTTATTGCACATCTACATGACACCACCAACCATCCCCCAAAAAGGTGATTAGGCTGCTGAGTAAAATGTAGAAGGAGTTCAGGGAAAACGGGACTTTTTGCATAAAAAACATCATTTTTCGACCCCCATTTGACCCCCCGGGGCAAAATCAAAATTATGAAACCTTACTGCACATCTACATGACACCACCAATCATCCCCCAAAAGGTGATTAGGCTGCTGAGTAAAATGTAGGAGGAGTTCAGAGAAAACGGGGCTTTTTGCATAAAAAACGTCATTTTTCGACCCCCATTTGACCCCCTCGGGCAAAATCAAAATTCCGAAACTTTATTGCACATCTACATGACACCACCAACCATCCCCTAAAAGGTGATTAGGCTGCTGAGTAAAATGTAAGAGGAGTTCAGGGAAGACGGGACTTTTTGCATAAAAAACGTCATTTTTCGACCCCCATTTGACCCCCCGGGGCAAAATCAAAATTCCGAAACCTTACTGCACATCTTCCTGACACCACCAAAGATCTCCCAAAAGATGATAAGGCTACTGTGTAAAATGTAGAAGGAGATCAGGGAAGACGGGGCTTTTTGCATAAAAAACGTCATTTTTCGACCCCCATTTGACCCTCTGGGGCAAAATCAAAATTCCGAAACCTTACTGCACATCTACATGACACCACCAACCATCCCCCAAAAGGTGATTAGGCTGCTGAGTAAAATGTAGAAGGAGTTCAGGGAAGACGGGACTTTTTGCATAAAAAACATCATTTTTCGAACCCCCATTTAACCCCCCGGGGGAAAATCAAAATTCCGAAACCTTACTGCACATCTACATGACACCACAAATCATCCCCCAAAAGGTGATTAGGCTGCTGATTAAAATGTAGAAGGAGTTCAGGGAAGACGGGACTTTTTGCTTAAAAAACATCATTTTTCGACCCCCATTTGACCCCCCGGGGCAAAATCAAAATTCCGAAACCTTACTGCACATCTACATGATACCACAAATCATCCCCCAAAAGGTGATTAGGCTGCTGAGTAAAATGTAGAAGGAGTTCAGGGAAGACGGGACTTTTTGCATAAAAAACGTCATTTTTCGACCCCCATTTGACCCCCCGGGGCAAAATCAAAATTCCGAAACCTTACTGCACATCTACATGACACCACCAACCATCTCCCAAAAGATGATTAAGCTACTGTGTAAAATGTAGGAGGAGTTCAGGGAAGAAAAGTGTGACAGACGGACGGACGGACGGACGGACATGAGTAACAACAATATACCCCAACTTTCTTTAGAAAGTGCGGGTATAATTAAGAAATACTTAAATACGAATTATCTTTGGAATGTACATGTACGGATATTTACCGAGTTCTTCAGTACTTTTTACCTTCTTTACCTTGTCTGTGACTTACATGTAGATGACTAAGAGTTTTGGTGGTCATTTATGCTATGTTTTTTTTATCCCACGTTTCCGAAAATTGTTGAAGCTCTGGCATACCAAGCAAACAAGAAAACATATTCTGCATGTCAGTCATAACCGTTACGATTACCATTTTCTTGTAGTTATAATATTTTTGGCTGTGTTCCTCATAGCCTATCCATTTGAATTCGATTAATGTAAACTTTACATAGCTACGGCGTCCCAGCATAAATCAATTACATTACTTTATTTCCCTTATTTACTTAATCCACTAAAAACCGTTATCCAGGCTTTTTGATATCATTGACAGCTGCTTCCTCAATAAAAATGAAACTCGTAAATTTACTTTCAAAACTATTTTGTTAAATCAGATTCTAATTGCACACATAAGAACTCTGAAGTTGACATCAAGAAGATGCTTAAGTTTCTGATTGACAATATCTATGTGGTTTTGGAGACCAGGTATTCCAAAAATCTTTTGGAATTCCCATAGGTACAAATTGCGTTCCGTTATTAGCAACCTTATTTTTATATTCATATGAAGCAGAATTTATGCAAAATCTTATGCGTGAAAAGAAGAAAACACTTGCTGTGGCCCTTAACTCGATTTTGAAATATCGACGACGTATTGTCAATTAATAATGATAATTTCCATTCCTACGTCGATACGATATATCCTGGTGAGCTTGAGATAAAAGATACCACAGAGTCCGACACTTCTTTATATTTGGATTTTTACTTGAAAAAGACACTAATGGTAATCTAACAACCAAGCTATATGATAAACGTGATGACTTTAACTTTTCTATCGTCAACTTCCCTTACTTATGCAGCAATATACCTTCATCAACTGCATACGAAGTATATATATCTCAGTTTTTTCGATACACAAGAGCATGCTCTACGTATGAACAATTTCTTAAACAAAGTAAATTATTTACAAGCAAGTTGATGAAACAAGAATATCAGCTCGTTTAAAGTCATAATTTCGTAAGTTCTGTGGTCGATACAATGAGCTTGTCAGCAAATACAATTTATCATTGAGTCAAATGCTGACTGACGTTTTTTTTTACACCAATTGTTAGTCCATTATTTATACACTGAATTGACGACGGTTTTTTATCCGTTATTTCCTGATCATGACAACGAGTACACTGCGGGTTTGACCGGTCGGCAGGGGATGCTCACTCCTCCATGGTACCTGATCCCACCTCTGATGTTTTGGAGGTCCGTGTTTGCTCTGCTCTTATTTTGTATATTGTTGAATGGACTTTGAGATTGAATACTGTTCGTTATCTTTATATCCCTCTTTCAGAATTTTTTCATCACGGGTTCGAATCCACTGCGGTATGTGAGGATCGGTCCTTCGGTTGAGATCGTATAGGTCTCGAGTCGCAGTAGCTATTAAAGTAATACGAAAAAGATCGTCCCCATAATTCACTCTAGTGAAATAATTTACACCCCTCCCCCCAATGTAAACGTTTATAACATGCTTATAGGTTCTATAGATATTGGTCATAGCTTGTTCAAAAGCTATTACATGTTTTTATAAATACATGATATTTTTAATTATATGTCGTGATTATACTGATCGTAGCTCTTTTCATTCTCTTATTATCATCATGATCTACGCCTTAAACTCATATAATTTTCCATTTGAAGCTGCTATTATAGCTGTTGATGAAAATCAATGTTGGGAAGTTTATAATTTCTTTTTGAGTTCTGTTTTTAGTCCTAAAGGTCAATTCAATATATAAAAGTCTTAATTGGTTAATTATGTTTGGCAATTCATCTTCACATTTTATCTATGTCTTTTATTTTGAGCAAACCAACAGACTAGTACATAATTTTAATTCGGAGCTCATAACGCGTCAAACTTGATCAATGTATCTGTTATTTAGGGTAATGTTTTACATCAAAACATGTATGATTCATTTTTCTGATTATTTTATTTTGTTAATTGAAGACAAGTACTCGGGCCTATCAGAAGAAACAACTCCATTGAAAGTAAATGAATGTAAGTTAAAAAAAAAACGACGGTAATTTACTTAAAATAATGCACATAATTTTGGAATGATCAATGATTCATATAATCAATATGGAAAATTATATTATAGAACCCGATAAATAATTTTTTTTTTAAATCACTAGATTTAAAAATTGGGTGATTGATAATATTAGACTCCATCATTAGCGGTAAAGAGCTCCCAATTTAGACCATAAAACCCAGCACTCACAGCAGAAAGAAATCGTTAGTCTGTCGAGCCTCTCTTTGAGGTTTCATCAGACACATCAACAGCTTTTACGAACAAATACCAAGTGCTATAAAAAGATTTTTTTTCTACGTAGGTTATGAACAAATTGAGTGTTGAGTGAAGCTCTAAATTAAAAGAAATCCAGAGGTATACAGAGAGCACCAATCAATCAATCAATCAATCAATCAATCAATCAATCAATCAATCAATCAATCCGATAAATGTTCTTGCGAACTATAATAATTGAAAGTTTAAAGTTACAGCATTTCCTTCATGGACAAACTCAAGACTTTTGACTTCCTTACAGTATGTGAGTCTAATAGCTATATCTACAAAAAATAAAAAGTTAGAACGTTTTAAGAACTAGTAATACAGTTAAAGATTGATTGATTGTATATTGTTTAACGTCCCTCTTGAGAATTTTTCACTCATATGGAGACGTCACCGTATGCCGGTGAAGGGCTTGAAATTTAGACCTATACTCGGCACTCAGGGCCATTGAGCAGTGAGGCTTCTTTATCGTGCCAGCGCCTACCGTGACACGGGGCCTACGTTTTAAAGGTCATATCCGAAAGACCCGTGACTTTCACTTCTAGTGCCGAGCGCTTGGCGAAGGAACAGTCACTACCTTTGTTTACGTCTTAGGTATGACGCGGCGCCGAGAACGAGAATCGAACCCGGGCCTCCCGATCACGAAGCGAACGCTCTACCACTAGGCTACCGCGACCCGTAAAAGAAGTTACTGATATAAAAGTATTATCGAGCATTTGCATACTTAATTATATACTCACAATCAAAATATACGCAACATCCTCATTTTAGGGTAAAAATTATGTACGGGATAAAACTATATAGTACTACCAAAAAAGTTAGGCCATCTTTTACTATGCCAAATCTTTAATTTAACGCTTGAATGATTTTATATCATTACTGGAAGTTAATCTTTAGCACTCTTAACAGAATAAAAAAATGAATTTTAAATAGAATCATTGACAATATTGTGGGGTTTTAAGGTTTTGTAGCAGTTAATAATAAGTTTTGAACTAAATTCCAGAGAAAATCAAAGTACTGAAAGTACTCATGGGAGTTGAACATTGTTATCTCAAAGATCTGACAGAAAGTATAGGAACATCTTCATGCATTCAGATTCAAGTCAGCTAGAACTGATTTTTTAGAGATACAAAACGAAACATTAAAAATGATTTCTATTGCATTTAAATAGCCAAGATCATGGGACTGCTCTTAAATTAGCTGCAGAATTGTAGCTCTCCGAAAAAAAAGATTTTGACAGACCGGAGAGCTACAGTGCCATCCATTGAAAAAAAAATGTATATTTATTGCGCACGAACAGTTAAGTTTAGTTCTGGATTAATTCTTTCTAATTCTTACCTCAACAATTTGACCAAACCAAACAAACAACCCCCATCACCAAAATATTTTTTTCAAACTAGAAAAAACTATTTTGTTGTTAGGTTTTAAACTTCTTTCAGTACTATTTATTAATAAAACTCGAACACTACCCTTATATTTCTGAAACATTTGAATCAAGACGCCCCTACCCTCTTTAGGATGTGTACAAGATATTTGGTCCCAAGAAACAAACAAACAAACACTCTTTATATTCGATTTTACCATCATCCGACACTAGATTGTCATTTTTCTTCCTCTGATTAAAACAAGTATTTGCTATTCTTTGTTGGGTATGAATGTTTCTTTTCGGACACAATAATTAATTTTTATAGAACTCCATGCCAATCTATTTTATCAAATGTATCTATCTTTATAACTTAATCATCAAGTTTTGTTATTCCATAATTTTAAATTTCATTTCAAGTAATATTTATATAGAAGTAAGTATGTCTGAATACTTTACATTTTGTTTGTTTTACGTTCGATAATTTTTCAATCATATTGAAACACTACCACTTGCCGATGGAGCTAGCTACATGTAAGTCTACAATTTTTTACCTATACACGGCTTTCAAATCCATCGAGTAGTGAGGGATCGTTTTGTGCAAGCACATACTGCGACATGGGATTTCGGTTTATATGGTCTCATCGAAAGAGTTTATCTCCAAATGCATCCCACAGGATTCAAACCTGCGACATTAGGATCAATTAACACCTTACTTTGAACCTCTAGAGCAAACTATTTTAACAACTGCGCCACGCGGGTGAGACTTAAAGTTTGTGATTTTGATTTGATTCAAATGTAGTTAAAAATCAGACATAGTGTAACGAGCTACTGCAAGAAAAAAAATAGTTGTAATCATGAGAAGCGATCTTTCTCACAGATCGATTATTGGGATTATTATACCATTGTGTCCGTGTATACGCATATATTCATTAATCTTAACTGTTTTAATTATATAATAAAATCAAATGATACATTTTATAAGGTAATGCTGCAATACAAGTACACACACATTTTTCAAGTTCAGATTTGGTGTTGTACACGTGACCAACTGAATGCTGATAAGTTCATGAAATTAAGGATGCAAAATTAATGTCATTTGAAATAGTGAGATTGGATATCAACAAACTTTAATGCTATTATTTTTTCCCTTTACCAACATAAAAAAAATGAGATGCATGAATATGGTCTGACAAAAAATTTCCAGTCTAACAGATCATTTTACTTGTCAAAGCAAATATATATTTTCCGCAGTGTTTTTTTTAAAGAAACGTTGTTCTGTCTCTTTATTGCTGAAACAAATTGAAAGAAGTTGGGTTAAATCTTAGAGTTCCTTTCCTTACATCTTTGTTTACGTCTCTATATTTAGACAATCGCGTCATTGTCAAACCAGTTAGACCAGTTTTTGCTCCTTGGATGACCTAGCACTTTTTGTAATGGAGCGTAGTGTAGTCAGCCGAAGATTGCCGAAAGATAAATGACGGAAAACTGGGACTTTTTTTCATACGGAAATCAAAATTTATGTGTCATTTCTCAAGAAAGATGGCAAAAATATGCTATTCAAGTTAAGTTGAATAAAATTCTATTTCATTTACTTTCAAATCATTTATGAAAATTAGATTAATTCAGAAAAATGAGATGGACTATTTTTATTGCGGAAGTTTCTTCGAGTTAATATAGGCTGGTAAGAGTTTGTATTGAATATCACAGGGGAGTAAATTGGGCGACACAGAAACACCACGACAGCCGCTATATAATTCATTGTAAAATTACTGCCCTAGAAACCGCGTTACAGCCTAGGGAGTCTGAACATAGTTCAACTCCCAAAAAATCGTTCTTTTAAGGATGTGATGCATATATATCTTTGAAATGACTGAAAGCACATATTTTCATTGCTTATGCTGGAAATTTTCAAAATAAAGAAAAAAAAGCTACAGATGCAAATATACACTAAATTACGCCTTTTCGGGCTCATGTGCGAAATGAATATTCTTAAGTATTTTTAAATGCTTGGCTTTCAGATACTTCCGTCGATTTTTCTCAAACTTCGCTTAGTGTAGTAACTCTTTGATTTCCGGTCAAGGTCACTCATGCTTTGAAAAGCATTAAAAATGCAATTTTTGTAATATCTGTAAAGAGGGCTAAAAATAAACTTCCAGTTATGTATGATATAAAAATCATGTAACCGTTAATAACCGTATAAGTGGAAATTTTAGCGAGACGCAAATTTAGCGATTTGTCCTTAAAAAATTGGTAATTTATTTTTAGCGAGATGTTATTTTAGCAATTTTTAAATGCATATTAAAGAAGCTATCACAAATAAAACGCAATTAATTTTTAGCGATATTCAATTTTAGCGATCTCGACACCCTCGCTAATAATGCCAAAATTAAATCCTCGCTAAAAATTCTACTTATACGGTAACTGATTTGGCAAAGTTTAATATGTCCTAACTTTTTGGTACACAAAGGGTGTCCAAAAACATACATGTAAAACATGTTACACTTTTCAACCGTTTTAAAAATTTATGCCTAAAGTTACATTAGTGAAATGTTACATATGTAATAAATTTATTATTATATTTTTTTGTCAAACATACATTTGTCACAGTTTCCTTATTAATCTTCAACATTTTTTTCTCTAGAATAACATATGTCATTATACAACAAGTTCCAAAAGACGTTCCTTTGAATTAACATTGTTTGAACATGATTTTTGAAGCTTTTTCCCAAGTGTTAGGCATAGATGTAACATTCAAACAGTTTAGAGGTTTTAGTACGTTAAAATTAGGTTTCAACAAACAACAGAATTTAATATTCTTTTTAACAACATTGTTAAATGGAATTTGCTTCATCAGAGAACCCTTGCATCTGTAAATTTTCAGAGTCAGGTCTAATTAAAATCCACTGAGCATACTCTAAAGGACTTCTCATTTTTGTCTCTTTCAAATGCCGCATTTCACTTATTCGTGAAACTGTGTAAGGAATCAATTTTAATGTGGAATTTTTTTAGTAGTTTGAAACAGTAGATCTATTAAAGGTGCATGCTTCATCTGTGTTTTGTTCATGCAGGACCTGTCTAAGGGATTTTTGTAAGTTTTAGTAATAACTTTCACTGTCATTTTATCAATGCTCTCTTTGGTATTCTTATACCAGAATTACCCCGGTAAGTAATGGGTCATTTATGGTGCCTTTAACTTCAAACTCCCTAACAAAACTGTAAAGGAGTATTCTACAAAGCACTTTCATTACAGGATGTTTTCTCATGGTTCTAATGATTAAAGTAGCAGATTTAGACCCATAGTAAAGTTTTACAATTTTTACTATTTCTACCAACTGTTCACATAAAAATTCTATAGCAAAAATATGATGACGTCATTAGGACATCATAAATGCCTGACTTTTTAACGGAATTTCGTGAAAGTTCGCCATAGAAAATGTATGCTAATACACTAGATGTTGACAAAATATCTTTTTAAATTCGAATGTATTCGGTTTGATAAAGTTTTTGATGATTAAAAGTGCAACATATATTTTGGGACACCCTGTTATTATATCCGAAACATAATTTTCACCCAAAAAGTTGCGTTTCTGTTGATTGTGAGTATACATTAATGTTTGGTAAAATTTACATGTATTGAATTCGCTTACTATGAGATTAATTAATGTTTCTTTTCCTTTTTTTTTGTTTTTGAAGGTAAGACACATCTGGAAGATGAAAACAATAAGAAAATATACGAGAAGTACCTTAAGGAAGGTTGTATATGGGTTTGCCCAATTTCACAAATAATCATTGTTGGTGAAAACGGAGTAGGGAAAACAACTCTTTTGAACCGACTGAAAGGGAAAACACTGAAGGAAATAAAAGATATTAAATCAACAAGAGGGATAGAATGTCACACAAAGAAGGAGAGTTTCATCATATCTGGAAATGAACTAAGTAATTTTATTTTGGGTTAAGAGAAGTTTAATTTCGACATTTAATTTAGCATAATTTGTTGTATGTGTATCATAGTAATAATATTACATGGAAAAAACAAATAAATGTATTAAGTGCAGATAGATTTTAGGTCACCGATGACCTATTGCTATTCCTTGTTTTTCCGTCGTCGTTCGTCCTTCGTCGTTCATTGTGCAGTAAAATTTGGATATTACCAGATTTTTTTAAATTGCCCTTGTGGCACTGTGATTAAAGCGTCTGCTCCTAAGTTTCTGGAAGTAAGGAGCCAATCTTTACGTCGGGGGTTCGATTCCCTTCGTGGGACGTGAAGACGGGTCTTTCGGATGATACGGTATAAACCGAAGTTCTGTGTCGCAGTACAAGTGTAGGTGCCGGTATGAAAAGATTCTTCGCTGCTTAATGGCCCTTATTACCGAGTACAGAACAAAATTTGCAGCTGTCCACCAGGAAATGGTGGCGTCACACTTTAAGTGAAAAAAATTCTCGAGAGGGATCTTAAACAAAAATTTGTAATAGTAAAATCGCCAAATTTGTAATTTTATAAAACAAGCAATTGTAAGCCCCTTAGAGGAATCAAATTCAACAAAAAAGTATTTTTGATTTTAGACTGGCTGTTAACAGGTTATTTTTTAATTTATATCTTATGATATCTATCAAAACATGTGTTACATCACAATTGGTTAATCAAGCCTAAGTCGAAAGTAAAATATATGTCAAGGATGAGTTTGATTTTCCTTTAAAAGCTCTTTTGTGAAAAAAAAATATTCAAAAATAAGCTGCTACCCTTATCATTTTTTTTTTCAAGTGGCTTTAGTTTTTTTTTTCATTTTAAAATAAATATCTTTATATCAGCTTTATTTAATTTGCATATCTCTGAAAAACCAATGGATGTTGAAAGCAGAACAAATTAAATACTCTACTCAGGTTTATTCTTTTTTACTTTTTCAAATTTCTATCCGTCGAAAAATGTAAAATTACAGACCCTGAAAAGTGCTAGTATACTAAAAAGAATACTAAATGTTATTAAAATTAATATATACTATTCACAAAACTTAACAAACCATATATAAACAAACGAACCCTGTATAAAATGGAACGCACCGCGTGCGTAAAAAGAAACGTACCATTCACAAAAAACTACGTTCACAAAACTACGGAATCCCAATAGTGCAAATCAAAAAATAAATAATCTATAAATTCCACATTTGAATTTCAAATATTTTTAAGTGCCTGTCTCAGAGAAAACCATGCAAATTGAAAAAAATTGTCCAGATGCATTATCGTAGTAAATTTAAAAGTGACCCATACAAATAAAGATTTGGTCCAAATGACCTAAAATATGATTTACATTTTGTCGTAAGTTGTTTCTATTTTTAGTAACGGGGATTATTTGTTTTCCTATAAAAAAGTGTAAAACGAGCATTGACATTCATTGAAAATGATGCATTTTAAGTGCGTCTTTTAAACATATTTGCTATAATTTTTATTTCAATGTTGCATATGTTATGAAAGTGCAATAGTAGTTAATTATATTCATTAAAAAAAATTTACATATATATTTTGTATTTAGCCACATTATATCAGGGAATATACAAAGAATCTAGATTTTAGCAATCAAGGCTTTTTTTTCAAAGTTTGGTTAATCGTATCTTGAAGCGAGGATGATTTTTTTTATTTGAATTATACTGTTTTGAATTTATTCAATATAGAAGAAAAACATATTAAAAAATTGTCGTTGGCAAACAACTCTGCACCACAGAAAAAAATTCCAATTACGGGTGAATTTTTCAATATTAATCTTAAATTAAAACATGCCATTTCACGCTAAAAAATGTTACGTAAATGATTAAATGGTATTTTCATGACATAATAAATTTTTAGAAATTGTTTATTAATAAAAAAAAATCTTTTTTCATTTAAATGCCTTTAATTCTAATATTAATATTTAGATTTTTTTGCATTTGCCTAGTCAGAGTTAGGTCCCCTTGCGCAACTCTCCTTTTTTAAAGGTAAATAATTGCACTGGAAAATGTCTATGGGGAATAATGACACTTAAAAGCAGTCAACTTTCTATGGAAAAACTCACAATTTAATGCAAACAAAATGAGTAAAAATTCACAAGGATGTGATTTTTATAAATTTTCCTAGATTCCGTGTCATGAAACAGAGGAATATCTCGTGTAGTTGATTGTGACAGAAGCACTGAAAAACGTCTAGCATGTTTGAAGTTCTCAGAGTGTCTTTTTTGTCAAGCTTGGGACACCGTAAAGTTGAAACAAGCTAATTCAGATAATTTATATGTCTTCCGTAAGGGCAAATGTAAACAATGCGCAGTTCGAGGGGAGGGGGTGGGGAGACAAAATGATCCCCTTGACTGAATTTGTAGAATTATCAAATGTATACATGTAATCCGAGATTCCTCTGATTCTAAACCCCGCTTTTATATTATGACTCAGGGGCGTAGCAACAGGGGGGGGGGGGGGGGGGGCGGGGGGGCCCTGCCCCCCCCCCCACTTTTTTTCCCAACCTTACTCATACTATAGGAAATGTCAATTGAAAACGTGGTTGGCCCCCTCACTTTTAGTGATGAACTGCAAATGTAGTATTAGAGGGGGTGGGGAGACGGATCCCCTTGACTGAATTTGAACTTTTTTTCCCAACCTTACTCATACTATAGGAAATGTCAATTGAAAGCGTGGTTGGCCCCCTCACTTTTAGTGATGAACTGCAAATGTAGTATTAGAGGGGGTGGGGAGACGGATCCCCTTGACTGAATTTGTAGAATTATCAAATGTAATCCGAGATTCCTCTGATTCTAAACAATGAACTGCAAATGTAGTATTAGAATTGGTACTGAAAGTAGTTGAGACTGGGGAAAAGTTTACCTACCCCCCCCCCCCCCCCCCCCCCCCCCCCCCCCCCCCCCCCCCAATAGGATTTTTTCGACTTCGGGCAAACTTTTTCCTTTTTTTCTTGCTTGTCAACTTCTTCAGGTTTGTAAAAAAATTTCTCTGCCTGCCCCCCCCCCCTTTCAAAAACGATGCTACGCGCCTGTGACTTGTGCGGGAAATCTCGGATTAGTATACATGTATACTGAAGCAAATAAAATATGCCAATATGGATATTTATAAAGATTTGATTGCTTATTCTTTTTATGTGTATAGAAGATTCTTTTTATGTGGAATAATTATCACACTGTAATGATGATTTTATGAGTTTGTACAAGCCGTACCTCATAATTTTTTCATTTTACATGCTGAAAACTATCATTTCGTAAAAAAAAAAAATGGAAAAAATGGATCGTCCGGGATTCGAACCCGGGACCTCTCACATGGGAAGCGAGAAACGTATCACTACACATTGGAACCGCTTTTACCTGGCAATAATTATATGCAAAGATGAAGTCACATACATGCTTATATTCACATTCGATAATTGTCATAATTTTATACAATGCATGGTGTCTAATTTAACTTTTAATAAACAGTTTTAATAGATGTAATAAGAATATAAAACCCGCCGAGAACCTGTTTTATACGTTATGAGTCTCCTCATGCCCCTGTGCTGAAAATAGCGACATGTAATACAATAAATACTAATAAAACAAACGGGGGGGGGGGACTTTGAGAAGGGTGAGAGAGGTCCAAGGGAGTTTTGCAAAAGCTCAAAATCTTCTTGAAATATCGCCCGAAAAGGATAGTGTTACACACAGACAAAATGTATAAATTTACAACCATGAACTTCGAACGTTTGACTTCAAAATCAATAGGGTAATTCCTTCGGCCACAGGAAGTTGTTCTGTAAAATTTAATTGTAAAAAGTTAAAAGGGTTCTCGAGATATCGTGTAGAAACAAAGGCGTTACAGACAGACAGACAGAAAGACGGACAGACAGACAGACCCAAATTAATATCCTCCACTTTTTAAGGACATTCGCAACGTAATTTATCTACTGATAACTTTTCAAGATATTCTTAATTAAAGATTATATTGACATCAGATGTTCACAGGCAAAAAATCAACATACATTACCAGGGTTTTTGGGAAGATATCAAATTATGAAAATTTTAGCTTTATTCAAAGAAAAATATACAAAAATTACAAAACATAAATTCCAGATTTTTTTCCCATCAAATTTGTTCTAGAAGAGGTGTATATATTTGTATGTAAAGCATTGCACACAGGTCCTTCATTTAGTGGAACTCTTCAACTCCAGGGAAAAACCCAATAATGTTCACACTACGTTGCATATGACCTTAAGCGGGGGGCAATTAATTATGATAAATACCTTTGCCCTTGAAATTTACAATAATATTTCATTTCAAAGTATGAAGACAGGCACTTAGCATCGTTTTTGAAAGTAGGGGGGCCAACCAGAGAAATTTTTTTCACTTACCTGAAAAAGTTGACAAGGTAAAAAAAAATCGAAAATTATATTCATCAAAGTCGAAAATCCTATTTCGTGCCCCCCCCCCCCCGGTTGCTACGTCCCTGGAAGAATGTGAGAGAACAGTAAATTGTCCAGATTGTGTTTAATTGTAGAAGAATTCAAGTTGAGTTGAATAGCTCACAAAGAATAGAGTGTACGTATTGTTTCATTCGTCAAAAAAATCAAGTCATTGCACCTCCTCCATAAAAAAAGCAGTTGTCTGAAATATCTCAATGTTTGCGATGAAATTTGAAATTTGTAGAAATTGTTCCTCTTAAGGGAGGACTATTTGATTCTGAAGGGGGGGGGGTTGGCAAATTTTGTTGAGACAGATTATTTATTTTCATGCCAGTCAAGGGAAGATCATTTATTTTCAAGAGTATCAAGGACAGATTATTTATTTTCTTCTTTGTCTTACGGTACCTTGATAAATTGATACCTTCAAGTGATTATCATGGGCGGATACAGGATTTGTGATTGGGGGGTGGGGGGTGGATAACTTCATATAGACAGGGGGTCTTGGGACCGCCAAAAGGCCCCTAGTGGGTCCAGGACGAAGCCCTTTGTGGGG